ATTAATAGAAATCAATAGTCAGCGTTGAAGAAATATTTCGAAACTAATAAAACTCTTGAAGGTAGAATAAGTCTTTCAGATCTACCTTTGAGAATGGTGTTGAAATGCTATTTTGTAAGGAAGACAGATCTTAGATTTAATTTTCTGTCATGTTGCTAGTAATATTTTTCTTGAAAACTGTATTCGCTTGAAAGTATATTTAATTATTGAGAAAAGTCATTTTATTCATTCGTCCAAATGCAAGACAGTTCGCATTGGAGCAACGTGAAATATGAACTCGATTACTAACTAAAGTTATTCAATTTAGTTTACCCTGTGTGTATTACGATTTAAATATATTGTAGCGATGATTTTGCAATTAGTATCATGTTAGTTTAAGTTAAAGTATTATGAATAAATAGTAGTAGTTGGAAATCAGAAGGAAATACCAACTTATATAAATTTTTTTCCGTGAATGAGCATTTGATGAAGCAAAAATATTCAAGAGCTTAGTTGCGGAATTATGTAATTAAAGAAAACGAAGGCCGCTCAGACGGTATAGTGGTAAGGTTAGCATGACTGCGACACCAAAGGGCCTGGGTTGGAATCCCGGAGAAGGCATGGATGTAAAACTGTCTGTCCCTTCATAGGAGGTAACGGTGGCCGCCTATTAGGTGCCTCCACTATAAAATGGCCACCACTTTTGGCCTTAGTAGTGGCCAAAGCCGCTATAGGAAGGGAAAAAAAAAAAAAAAAAAAGAAAGAAAAGATCACAAAGTGAAAAAAAACTTCAAATTAAAATCAGACGTTTGATTATGAAACCTGTTTGAAGATATGCAAAAATAAAATATATATATATATATATATGTTTTGTTAAATGCTGATAAATAAACTTCTTTTCACGTTACCCTTAAATTATGAAGCTACACATTTTAAGATGATTAAATAAATTTTGGGAAAAAAAATATTTTTCCAGAAAAAAAGATAATGAAGCGTACAGTTCTTTTTAATTAATTCTTAAAAATCTTAAAAAGGAATTCTGGTTTTTATTGTTAGTTACCAAAAATAATATAAAAAAACATCATAATCATTATCAAGCACGATGTATAATAAATATTCTATCGAATGATATGAAAAATTGTGAAAGCGAAATATTCTTAAATATGCTAAGTCTGCACACTTAAGACGTGTGTAATCACATTTCTTAAATTTTCTCCCCTGGTAAAAATTGCAATAAAGCAATATCTAAAAGCATTTTCTTTTGTTTACGTAAGTTTGAAACAAATTTGTGACGCATGAAACATTAAAAATTGTTATTGATTATCAAAAAGTGAAAGAAATGTTAAAATATTTTAGAAATCAATTGTTTAGTTCGTGTAACTACTTCAAATTCGTTTACATATACAAATATTTCATTGCAATGTATTTAACTATTACATTCCAAATGCATTTTAAGGTACATTTATTCCCTACATTTCATTACAGTGCATTTCAAATTTCATTTTACAAATTTACCTGTACTTTTGCATAAATTGAAACATTTTGGGCTATAGTCAAGAATTTCGTATTTATACGATTGAAAAGCATTGCATTTAAGACTTTTGTTATGACATAAGGCTGACTACCAAACAGTATTACGATCATGCAAATATGTCTCATTTTTACATTCAGCGTTATTTATTAAATTTTTTAATGTTTGCAAGACGACATTTTTTATTCAAGAAAATTTCGGTTCATTTTGTCTCTGAATTTGAGTTTATATTTGACATTAACATAAAATAGCTTAATGTCTAACGAAATTCATTATTAGTGTATCCTTTAAAGTATCACGAATTAATTCATTTACCTGATGCCTGGATTGGATTATTTTGATTACGGCGAAGCATGCAGGGACTTTCTTTTTAAGGGGAGAGACACTTTCTTAGGCGACATTCTAAAGGAAACTGGATAGAATGCACGCTACATCTGAGCATACCATGAAAGCCTCATGAGCAGTCTGCTCGCCCATGCATCCAACCCATTCACCGGGTTTCGAAACCGATTGAACTACAGTGTTCAGTGGTCTTTTCCACTCGGACCACTGGGACCTGTCTTGGGTTTGCCCGGCAATTAATTGAAACCTGGAAATTGAATTATTTCGAAAAATTTTTCTGCGTAGAATAAGTTTCAAGTACTTAGTACTTTGATGCAAACTTTTACTAACTTGAATATTCTTGGAAGCATTTTTATTCAGACTTGGATGGATCTTAACGATATTGAAATATATCCTTTCAATGACAGTCTTATTTGATAAAATGACTCCTCTTTTATGCACAAATAAATGATTACCGATTACATAATTTTATCCAATAAAACTGAAAAATGAAAGCTATAGTTTGAAACTAATTAAAGCATTTTCCGAATTTAAATTCGGGCAATGGTAGGGTTTTATTTATTTATGATATTTCGTTTTAAATCTCATCGCTGGCATTGAATATGCATTTTATTCTCATTGTCATTTCAACCAAAAGTACATGTTGCAAACTCAGTGAATTTCCTTTATATTTGCCGAACACATTTCCTAATTCATTTAAGCTTCTTCACACAAGAGCAGTTTTATGTTTAATGAGAAATGCATGTACTCCTAATTTCAGGAGGTAATGGAGGTAATAAAAACTTAATTCAATGTTTTCATGGAAAGGGGCCATAACTCATGGGAAACATTGAGCTCCTTTTTACACTTTTTCTAACTTGCTGAAACTTACACTAAAAGAAGTTAGTTAAAGTTAGAAAAAGAAGTTAGTTAAAAGAAAGAAGTTAGTTAAGTTAAAAGAAGTTAGTTAAAGTTAGTTAAAGTTAGAAAAAGCTTACACTTTTTCTAACTTGCTGAAGTTAAATACATGGCTTTGAGTTGAAGATGTTGGTACATCGTATTAGCTCTAAGATGCTAAAGTTAACATGTGCAACTGATGATTAGCGCTTTCATGTATTGATACATCAATACATGTATTTCACATGCTTACATGTATTTCACATACATGTATTTCACATGATACATCAATACATGTATCAATACATGTATTTCATGTCATGATTTCATGTATTTCATGTATTGATGATCACGCAATTGATTTCAGTCACGCTAATGATCTACATATGAAACAGCCAATATGATTTAAGTAACGCCTGCTGGTTTTGACTGACGTTATAGAATACTTTAAAAAATTAAATGCTCCAACTCTGCATTACAGTTATATATAATATAACAATCAGTCTACATAGCTACGTAGCTAAGGAGATAGCTAGCTTACTAAAAAACAACCAGAACATCGCTATTACAGTGAATAACACGCTGTAGTGCAAACGCGTGCAAAATAATTTGCTTGGTCAAAAGAAAACAGGTGGTGTTTCTTAAAACACGTTTTTTAGAACTCTGACAGATCCGCCGACTTATTTTATATTTATTGAAATTGACTTTATTTACAGTCTTAGTAACAACTGAAGGCATTTGTTACATAATTTTCTGATTTGAAGAGGTAAAATATTAAGTTTTTAAGCACAATGCTTTATTTTTTGTAAAACCACTTGCTTTAAAAAGGAGAGTGTAAATTCTTAATTTAAAGAAAATTGTGTCTTATAATTTAATTTAATGTCCTAAAATTTTTGGCATTGTGTTTGAAGACTGAAAACGGAAATTAATTTTGTAAGATACTGAACAAACCAATATGCTGATAGTTTATATTTTGTCTAGACATTGCTCATTTGATTTTCAGATCCTAAATTTTCTAAATTTTTGAGAAGCACATAAATCTAGTGTTCGTTTCATTTAAATAAAAATGAAATTGTTAATGATCAAACAAGAAACTAAACATATGCAAACAGACATTAAGCCAAGTAACCTTTCAGATATACTGCCAAAATGCCTGATATGTTGTAATTAATGCATTGGGGGCAAAGAACTCTTAAAATATCACCTAATTATGGCCATTCTGCGAATGCATCATATGTAGTATAACTTTATTACATCATTTTAGTTTACTTCTTTGTTCATTTTATTGAATATGATAAATCAAACGATTAATTTAGCTTATTTGATTATAGCAAAGAACGTGAGAGCTATCTGCCTATAGGAAAGGATGCCTTCGTGGAGGACATTCGAAAAGAAACTAGTTCGTATTTATGTCACGCATGGGGAAAACAGCGATAACGCGCGTGAAAGCCAGGTCGTTCTCCTGAATCGAGCCCAGGTTAAACTACCAGTATTCAGAGAATTTACCGTCCGGCCACTGGTGAGCACAAAGCAAACGAAACAGTACATGAATTTGAAAGATGGGACGTGTATTCAAAAATCACTTTCTAAAAGTAAAATATGAAATAAAATCTTTTTTCTGAACAGTTTTACAGTGCATGTATGTAATAAAATCAGTTGTCAGGTATTGGAATGAATTTTATAATTTCGTTATATATTAAAGCGGAATGTAAAAATCATTTTCTAAAAAAATAAATTACTAAAATTATTATTCGGTTTTGGATTCTAGGGCGTTATTTGGATGCTTATTTCGGAAGGATTAATTGCTTCAGGTAGTGGTTATGAACTTGGTAACCACTTAACAAGCTTTTAACATCGTATGAAATATTTGATTTGTGTTACATGCATATTTATAATAAAAAGTATGACATTTAATGAGGTATAAAGTGTTAGAAGGAAAATGCATTTGCAGACAGAGAAAATTTCGCCCTGTCATTGAACATTTTTGAGTTTTCAGTGCATGGTATTTCTAACTAAATGTGACAAAAAATAGCACAAAATACGGAAGCGAAGACAATTGGTCACTTTTATTTCGTATGTCGTTATCAGTCAGAAAGTGGACGGAGAGTTCACTTAGAACGAAATTCAAAAGGGGAGGGAGAAAAAGAAAATTACTTGCAATTTTTGAGTGTAATTGAACATCGTCACGAGCTCAAGAGCGTTACGCTTCACATAATATGTTCTTTTCCCGATAGCCGACTCGAAGCTATAATCCGCAGGAACTGGGAGCAGGACTTAACCTATAATAACGTTCTTTGGTGAAAATTCTTATGCTGTTCGTGTTCAATATGCACGAGTGATGGCGACCCGAGGAAATCGCCTGAGGAGGAAGTTAATTTGTTTCCTTCAGTGACGTCCATCGATTCATTGAAAGAAATGTATCATTTCACTCCTCAACGCCCTTACAAAATACACGCTAACAAAGTCTCCTCACGATGTTATGGTTCCTCACACTGCCGGTAATTTTTGCATGCTGTCATGGTACGTAGAGCTTTGTGAAGACAGTAACACATTTCCACTAAGTTTATTTCGAAATAAAAGTCATGACTTTTTTGTGAAAAAATAACAACTCTGTATTTCGTTTACCGATAGAATGTTTTATAACTTTAATAATGTCCATCAACATGGATCGACTGCAGTGATATGTACATTTATCAGAATTTTTCAAAAAATTAAATGCGTTCTAGAGAATAATATTATCTGTTTATTTCGTAATCTTTTTGAAAAATATACATTCGTAATCGCGCTTTAGTTTCTGATATAAATGATAGTTTTTGTTTCTGCCGCTTTCGGTGTAATTTTTACAAAGTCATTTAGTACAGATTGGAAGTCTATTGATAATGAAGCGAAGTTTAGTTTCTGAGGACTTAATTTCTGAGGAACGATAAAACCATGAGCTATTAATTCATTTTCAAAGATTTTTTTATCTCTCTGTAATAGAATAATTTATTTAAGCTAAAATATCCATGCTGTTTCATTGATCTCATGTTAGTGATCCATTATTACTATTAGTTCTAATAGTCTATGCGAAAATGTAAATTTTCTCTAAAATAACTTGATAGGTGACACTATGAAATAAAATTACAGATGTTACTTGTTGCTGAATAATTGCAATAAAACGTTAAGTTGCGGACGCTGCTTTATCAGCATGCATTTTTCTAGGTTTTGACATGGAAGGTCTGTGGGGCAGATCTGAAGAGACATGTGGTGAAACAAATCGTGTTCAGTACTCGAATACTGATGATCAAAAAGGTTACATTGTAGGAGGAAGAGATGCATTTCAAGGGGAATTTCCTTGGCAGGTATTTGTCAGTTCTTAATCTTTAATGAAATGTGCAAGAGCATAAGATCCGATTTGATGAATGTTTCTTTTCAGGTATCATTACAAAGACATTTTGAGAGGGATAATGGTATTTATCACATTTGTGGAGCCACTATAATAACCAAAAACTGGGTTGTAACTGCTGCGCATTGCATTAATCTGTAAGTAATATTTTATTGATACTTAAATCATTGATATGTTTGATAAACAACGTTATATTCTTGTGAGTATTGAAATATGTTTTCCCCCTAAATATTTCTCAATACTGAAATTAAAATGTGCAACGTATTTTCAATAAATAAGAAAGCATTTAGAAAATTCAAATATAGCTGTTTTAAAAATAAAAAATTAAAGAAGATTAGCAACTTTGTATGAGTTATAAAACAGTTCCAAAATTAACAGTATACTTAATATGTAGAGTGATTGCGAGGTTGATTTAGAAGCACTTATATAGATTAAATAATTCTGTTTTTTTTGGGGGGCGATATGATATAATCAGTAAAATATTTGAGGAGCTCTTACGTTTAGTTACAAATAATCAGAGCTTATGACAGGTACATAAATTTGATATTAATATCAATAGGAAATGTGGGACCCTTATGTGTAAAATATATATTAAAATGTTCGTAAGTTCGTAATTGTGCATAATGAAACTGCAGTTCTATAGTCTATCGTTTACAATCTGCAAATTGTGGTTATGATAATAACCACAATTTGCAGATTTCATTTACAGATCTATAGATCTGTAAATTGTAGTTATTTGTTTTCTGCTGAAAGTTATAACAAATCGTAATTTTAATTAGTAATAGTTGTTGCAATATCACAAGTAACTAATGACAACTTTTAAAAATTCATAATTAATTTAAATAGAGTAGTAAAACTAAAATTACTCTAATTGGTGTAAGCAAACTAAGAGACTTCAACCTTTTGTATTTCAATAATAAAAATAAGCTTTGATAAAAGCAAAATTCTCAAAACACCTAATTGTAAGATTTCTTATCAAATAAATGCTTAGAAGTATTATTTTAATATTTTTTCTTTTATATGAATCCTTCAACATATTTTAATTTTAGAGCGAAACTTGGAGACTATAGAATTGTAGCAGGAACAAGTGATTTGCGAGAGGAAAATAAAATAAGATCCGGAATCGTGAGATCATATTCGGAGTATAAAGTAAGAAGTTTCTCTTTTCGTTTTACTGGTGTTTTAATTCCTTGTTCAATATAATGCAAAGCTAAAATGTTTTGCTTAGTTTACTCTGCAGTGTAATCTCTAATACTGAAATTATACAGACACAAAAGCAGTGTTAATTTAGAATTAAAAACTAGCTAATTAATTCTAATTGAAAATTAGAATAAGATTTTACTTCTAGAGTGAAAATATAAATGTAATTTTCGAATCAAGACGAAGAGAGAGAGATGACGCTTTCGATATAAAGAAGCTAAGAGAAGAAACAAATGTTAAAATTTCGATTTGCTCAAATCGTTAAATTCTCGATTGAATACTTATATATCGGAACAAATCCAAAACTTCTAATATCTCTTTGGACATAGAGTTCGTTATTTCTATATTTCATTCAGTAATCCAAAGAAAAAAGATATAAAGTTCGCTGATATAAATTACATAACACTTCACAGAAAACTGAATATCTTGTTCGCAGTACAAGCAGTGGTAAGTTAGACACTTATTAATAAAGACAAGATCAAACAAATAAGGTGGTGTTTAGAATTAGTGAAATAAAAGCATTTTTCATTACATCTCAAAAAGGACTTGGCAAATTTGAATGAAAATTTCTACAGAGGGGCTACATATAAAAGGGCTTCAATACAGTACTACCCCGAAGTTACACTATAGATTGGAAGTAATTCGGATTCGCATATGTCAGGGATCTAATTTTACATATAAAACATATGAATTTTAATTAAATAGGACCAAGGTATGAAAGAAAGCTTTTTCAGAAAAAGGTGTGTAGTGAAAAATGTTGATTTTAAAGATATCGATTCAAAACAGATTTAAAATTGTTGCGCAACATAAAACGGAGCTATTTCGATGTCAAGAAAATTAATACTGTTGTCTGACAATTAAGTGATCACGCAAAATTTCTTCAACTCAAGCTAATAATTTTTTTATTCCTTGCCTTGTAGCTAAAATTCGTTTCTTATTAGAGTCTGCAGTCTAAAAAGTTTTAACCACTTTCCAATTGAGCCGAAAACCTTTTGTCAAGCTTACGATTGTGATATACGTTTCTGATGGATTTGGGTCTGAGATAACGGTTTCTTCAACAGCACTTTTCTCATGCGAATTGCTTAAGCTCATCGATTGTCATCTGTTTGCTATGTGAGTGCAACAGATCGCTGACATCATCACTATCAACTTCAAAATCTAATTGCCTGGCAAGACTGGCAAATTTTTCAATTACATGAGTAACTTGATCACTTTGTAGCGCATTTTTTAGCCTAGCTTTTGAAAAAGAATAGCCACATTTTTTTTTCCAGTCACGGTTCAAAGTTTTTTGAGAAGTTTCATTCCAACATTCTCCAACGATTTTTTACGGCATCTTAGGTACTGAACTGCGTCGGGAACCGGAAGAGGAGAAAGTAGGAAACTAGTCAACTTCGAGTTGGGTATACTAAGTCGGGGTATTATTGTGTAACAATACAAAGTAAAGCGTAACGTTTAGTTACAGCGATATGCAAGTTTAGCCAGAACTACTTAATTAGAAATCATAAACTCACACAAAAGAAGATGTAGCAAATCTCCTCGAAAGAGAAGACTGATTGGAAATATAGGTCCGTCATGGATTTGGATTTTGGATTATTCAGTTATGGCAAAGCACACGAGGGCTATCTGCCTAAAGGGAGGGATGCCTTTCGTGGAGGACTTTCTAAGGGAAACTGGCTCGTATACACGTTACACATGGGGAAAACCACGAAAACGCCCATGCAGCCAGCCCGTTCGCGGGATTCGAACCTCAGACCGAACTACCAGTGTTCAGCGTCTTTACCGCTCGGCCGCTGGTGGGCCCTGGTCCGTCATGTAATTCAAAAATGTGCTTCCTTAGTGTTCGCAAGATAGCAGAAAATTGCAATAAACCCGACTCCTCCCAACGTCATTCCGACTATTATGACTGTCACCTGCTCATGATGCCTGCACTAAATGACAATTCAATGTTTTCATGGAAAGGGGTCATAACTCATGGGAAACATTGAGCTCCTTTTTGATGATGCTGCCAGGTCCTTGGAATTGTTTTCATAGCTCATTGTATAACTTAATTGGAAAGCTGTATACATTGGGCCAAAATTAACCAGTCTTAAGTCTGTCTACAGGACTTTTATTTTAATCTATCATTTAAATTGCTGTGATAATTCCATTTATCAAATTCCTATATATCTAAAGATAGCCAACGCTCAAAATAAGAGTACGAAAGAGTCATAACAGTATCACCTTCTCTTTTGTTACGTGAACTGCCGGTATCCATGGTTTCTCATCAAACGGTTAGATGAAATAAATTAGTCAAAATTATGAGCAATTCATAGTTTTTCGATCTTTTTCAACAAATGGATATTTAGAATGACATAAAAATGTGTTTGTTATTTTAATAATGGATATCAGCGTTGAATATATAATATGGATATCAGCGTTAATCTTTCTCTCTTTTAAGAAATAACTGCATCATTTTGTCTTGTTCTTAGAATGATAGCTGAGGGTACAATTGATGCACAGTTTGAAGAGGCACTTATAGTAATCCATCAATACGCAATATTCTTACTCTGAAAATATGCTCTGAGATTCATATCCACTTTTCCATCCATTGTCCTAATACGTAAGTTGCAACTATGATACTAAGTGTCTTAATCCTGCATTTATGCGGACTTGTATTTCTTTTTTTAAATGCTTCTCATCTTAAGAAGAACTGGACGCTTGATTGGAGAATTCAGAATCTTCTTATTTTGCAATCTTTATGTTGGTTTCTCTTACATTTATTATAAAAAAAGCTTTGCATTTTCATTCATTCATTTCATTCATGCATTTTCTTTCCCTGATAATTTGCCTAAAAATTAGATCATAACTTTAGGATGCTGTAATATTGCAAATATATTTGTCTCTAAGCTGAAGAGTGAGTATTTAGTTAAAATTCCTGAAAGTTTCAAGATAACTGGAAGTCTACAAGGAAGAAAATTCTGCATTAACTTTGTTTTAAAGTAACCAGTATGAAAATGATTAGACTTTAGATACAGACGAAATAAAATGCTGTTAACTGAAGATGCAGACTTCATACGCATGCTGGATTGCTTCACGTTTCTTTTGGTGATACTCACATATTATTACAGAAATGTGTGAGAAGTCTTTTGTTACCAACAGAAAAATGCCCTTTTTTCAGATAGAATGAATTTTCACTTTATTTAGACGTTATTTTGACGCTCAGATTTGAGATAATAATATGGATGTTGTGTAATTATTATGAAATCGTGATTTAAATAGCCCGCGAACTCAAATTTCGTAAATTCTGGTTTTTTAGTTAAAAGTTAATGGCTATGAAATGATGCTAAGACTTCAATAATTCACAATATTTAACGCTAGTCAGATATTCATGATAAAATCTAACAGCAGTCTATGAAAAACAAAACATAATACGGAAAAGAAAAACTCTGTATTATTCTCAAATGTAAGATATGTACTTTGTTTAGATATATATGTTTGCTTTATTTACTATTGACTGAATTCTAGGAGGCATGTAAAAGATTTCCCTTGTGTAATAATTGGAATACTCATTCATAAGAAAGAATGGTAAGTGCATGTTCTTTCCTCGGAAATGGAATTAAATTATAAGGTATTTTATCCCTCCTTTCTGCATGCCTTCGTGTTGTAACTGAAAGCACGCTTGATGCGTATTCGGTAAATCTGGAATTTGAATCACTGCTAGGACATTGCACATTTTTCACGTTCCTGCATTCATACAATCTAGTGACTCTGTAGAATACATAAAATAACACAACTTTACAGTCAGCTGGTTTAAAAGCCCAATACAGTATATATAGGGAAAACAAATACCTTATACCGTTATAATGTTATTGTGCACTTAAGAGAGAAGTTTTCTGTTTTTTCGTCAAGCCTGAAATATGGCTTTATTCAAGTGAAATTTGGCTTGTACCCTGTCCATTATAATAAAAAAAAATTATATCAGAAATCCTAAATATTTAAATAATAATAATTAACTTTGTTTTAAGTTCTATTCTACGCGTAGAAAATAATCGACATGTTATTCTAATTTTAAATGAAACTCCTTATTTTCCAACTGATTTAGAAGTCTAGACAGAACTCGCAATCAACCGAAAACTTCAAAAATTCGATACCATCACTATATTCTGACTAAATTATACAGGAGTCTTGTTTAAGTAAGATAAAGCTAATTTTGGAGTTGAGCAAAAAGAGTGTTTTCCAAATATGAATATGGCGTAAGTTTCTGTTTAGAAATTTCCATCATAAACAAGGATCCTGCTCCTGAGCTCAGACTAAATGAGGAATATTATGTTAAATTTATCTTTCTAATATTAACAATTAATTTAAAAAATAAGAATTTAAATTATATGTAGGGGATTTATGTTGCTGCAAGTTAACTGTAATAATTTTAGTCAAAAAATATCATGATTTCCCTTTTACAAAATTTGCCAAATGTTCACAGTGTATTCTAAATTTTTTATGTTCTTTCGTATTTGAATTATTCATACTCATTTAGTCAAAATTCCAGCATAATTTTTATGCCAATAATAACAAAAAGTTATGCCAATAATAACAAAAAGTTACATCGAAATTGATCCTGGTATCAATACTAAAATGATTAAAGCAAAGTAAGATCTTTTAATCAAATTAACTAAAAGAGAGACAACATTTCAGCAAAATGAGTTATTTTTATTAAAATAAGATGGAAAATCTTATAGTTGTTGATATCTCTTTCTTAATTTCGCCAAGTTGCGCCCGCTGGGCTTCAGATTTATTATTCCTCTGATTCCTCTTTCAGAAAGAATTAAGAATTCCTATAACAGAAGTACTTAAAGAACATAAAAGGCATAAAATCAAGTCTTCATGCATATTTTTTTTCAGAATTCTATTAACTAAAATACATTTCTTTGAATTTTGAAAATTAAATTATCAGGTCTGGCTTTTACATTGGG